AGTTGTGTGACGATTTCTTAGTGCTAAAGATATCATAAAACGGTCATTTCGATGAGTAGTTATTTTCTGAGGACCGGTTCCAGGACATTGAGTATAAAGTCCCGTCTCTATAAAATGTGTTAATACACGTTGCACGGTACTGCGTGATACCCCGAATCTGTTAGCCACGTAAATTTGACTTCTTCCGTCTTGAATAAGAGCAACAATAAAGTTTCTACGCTTAAAGACATCTTAAAATTCGCACTAATTGACATAACCAAGTACTAAACCAAAGAACAAAAAAAACACTTAACTTAACCTTTAATGTCATCGTGAAAATCGTTGAAAATGCATAGCCTACTTGGAACACTAAAATAAGGCTAATATGATAACTTTTGCATTATTGAGATTATCGTTCAATATCTGGAATATATTCAATTTGGGAAGGCGTTTCATGTTAAAAAATCTTTAGGGTATTTTACTAAACCGTGTTCTCGTTGACCAAATAATTAAAACCGAATTAAAAAACAAATTAAAAAATGTAATGCATTTTTATAAAAAATTATAGAGGTGCCCGTTTTTCGTGCCGGTGAGTGTATTTTTATTCATTAGTAAGGAACGAGCAGGTTTGTTACATGTAAGGTCAAAATAGTAACAATTATTATTAGGGATGCAGAAACAAATTCAGACTCAGTTGAAGATTAAGCTACTGTACTTTTGCTTCTTACTGATCCGTGTTACAGGGTTTTCCCCACGAAAAATATAATCAGCAGGTTGATTTATAAGGAAGGATCTAATTTTTTTTATTTTTCAACTTAGAACCGAGAAAAATCGATTTGTCTGATATAAAAGTCGAAAAATCGATTTTTCCGACTTGTAACTCAAAATAATAGATTATTCCAATTCATAAAGTCAAAAAATGTCTTGGTAGGTATACGAATAGTTTTGTTTGTATCCATCCTTACAGTATATTCACACTGACAAATATAAGAAATTTAGTAAGTTTATCATAAAATATCAGAGGTCGAATCTTTGTACTAAAAATTACAATTATACATATTTACAGAACAAAGTTTACAATGTTGTTCGGCAACCCGGTGCAATTTAAAAAATTGGGTGTAATGTTTGAAGTTCATCTTTTTCAACCACTCTGTAGGTATATGTTTGTTTCCTGGCTGATGTCGAAGTAAATAAACTATAAAATTTACATTTAAATATCGGAATTATTATAAAAGGATATTTATTCCTTAAAATGAAATAAATAAAATTGTAATTTTCAGTACACAAAACGTAGGTACTAAAAAGATACAACTATATACAACAACGGAATTTTTTTAACAATGTTAAATTTACCTTACAATGAGTTGAACAAGGTTAAATAGTATGTACTGGGACGAGTAGAATTCGAAGTGGAAGTAATATCGATGCTCGCTTACAGAGCGGCCTCTTTGTTACGTGCATGTTCCTATTAAACTTTGTTTAATTCATTGAAAGGTACATTATCTGTGTTGAAAATTCCATACCTATATATATATATATATATATATATATATATATATATATATATATATATATATACAGACATAATCTATTATTCTGAATTTTAAGTCGGAAAAATCGATGTTCTTTCTAAGTTACAAAAATAGTAATAAAAACAAAATATTTTGTGGTCTTTCTTCGCTTCCGTAGATTTATATCCATCTTAAATTATATTAATTCCTTGAAATTTTAAAATGTATAAAATAAACTACTTTTGTATGTTTTTGTAATATTTAAAAATAATCGTTTCTTACGATCAGTTGTGATGCGATAAACGATTACCTAGTTGTTTTTGTTTATAAAGTAGACTAGCCAAATATTATTCAGACCGTTTTATGATTTAATAGATGACCCAAATTTTAATTATGTTTATTCATTCAAATTTACACTTCTAAAAAACAGTAAAATAATTCAAAACTGTGGTTAGGTATGCATTTAAAAAATGGAGCGTAAAAGGATAGTGTAAAAAAAAAACATTAATCACAGATTCCTTATTAAGGATTTCGCAAACTAGCGGTGACCGCATATATACAAATTAAGACAGCAGCCACTGCAACAACATTGCTTTTCGCAATCCTTTTTAGTTTATTTACTTTTATTAAGTAGTAGTAAAAGAGTTATATTTTTTATACGCCCAACAAAAAAACAAACTAATGAATAATAATATTTTATTAGAAGGCGAGTCTCTGGGAATAACAGACAAATTACGAGAAGTTCCTTTTAAGAGGAGTATTTACTTGGCTTTAGAGCAGAGCCTGCAAGCGTTTTGTAGTACCCCACTATTAAAGTTTATTTTTGACTTATTCTGAAAGAAAAAAATATGTGCGTGTTGGTAAAGGTTAAATCTATGCTCTTCTGAAGACACTTTTTTGAAATTTGAAACAGTTTTTTCTAAAAAAAAAAAATATACAAAACTCGACTTTTTTTACACATTTTTTCCATTTTTTTTTAGAAAAAATTAAATTGAATTATAAAAAAGTGGTTTCAGAGGAGCATAGATTTAACCTTCACCTACACGAACATATTTTATTCTTTTAAAAGTAGTCAAAAATAAACTTTAAAAGTGGGGTACTACGAAACCCTTACATTGCAAGATTTTTTATCTGGAAAGTGGCGCCTCCGTTATATTTTTAAGAAATGAATATTTGTGAATGAAAACAATTTATAAAATATTTTACTGGTGTTTTACGAGGGATAAATAAATTTTACGTATTTGTACACCTTATTGTTTTACGTAAATCATTTCTGTAATACTAAGATTAACATATATAATATACAAGGACAATACCATTAAGAAAACTACAATTGGTATTTTCAAATTCAGGGCTAGCTGCACATTACACAAATTGATTTTTGCATTTTATGCGTTTGGACTCCTCGAGAAATAAAAGTGGAGACAATTCCTCATAATGACAGCTTTTGGGAAGAAAAGATGCAAAATAAAATTCAAAGTTTTTCCATGCAATATGCCTTACAAGAACTAGTTGACAGCATAGCTATTAGAAACATGGAAGTACGGGACAGAATACCAAATAAATGATGAGAAATTTTGTTTAATTTTTATTAAAATGACGCAAGGAATCTTAAATTATTTGGAATATGTTTATTAATTTAAGAGTTACACTTTATTTATTTCTAAAACATGGTAGTAAGCGATCCATTTAAAATATGATTAATGTGACATTATTATAATACGCTTTTTTAAATTTTAGATTTTACCAGTGGCAGTGGCAACTGATGATATTATATAATTATTATACCCAATATTCTGACTAGTGGACCACGTTTTTAAGTTCACAAATAATAATATCAAGATTCTGATTCGAATTAGAGGTTTTACTACACAGGATTTTGTGCCAAAGCCAAGCCTGTATTTATATTGTAAAACACAGATGAGTAACTATCACATCAAAAGAAATTGAAAATTCACATATAAATCTTTGTAACGTAATTATTTATAACTTTAATAACTTTATACGGTCAAAAATTATTTAATTCTAAATTTAAATACTTTTTCTATTTAACTTCTTGTACCCGACATTGTGAGATAAAAAAAAACTTATTATCACTTTTTTCTTTCAATTCATTTGTAGTTTTTGTCCAGATGGATAAATGTTTGTAACTGTGGAACTTACAACTCGGCTGCTGATAGCCAGTGTAACAATAAGGGTTTTTTCATGAAGTTTTTCCAGAAGCTGCACCTAGGTGGTTCATTATAACAGATATTTTTTGTTAAAATATAAATAATATGCTAAAACATTATATACATATACATATTATAAAACTAAATTACCTTTTCATTTAACTAACTTGGGTTAGCAAGTTTGAATATTATAAAAAAGTTTGAATATAAAAACAGGTATAGAAAATATTTTTTAAAGAGACCGTTTATTGTCCGTCTACACTGGCCTCCTGTATTTGTTACTTTGACTATTTAAATCGGGGACATCTGTGGTACAGGAGCGAATGTATTTACAAACTATGGACGCTTTTCTACTCTAAATCAATTATTGTAAAATTCATATTATTTTGTGCTATTGTGGAATATTTTTCGGTTCCTTCCTCGTATCTACATGCAACTGTTAAAATTATGAATTAATGCTGATTTTGTTTAGCCTCGGAAGTAATTTTGTAGTATTTAGGCTCCACCCTCAAGTTGTAATTTTTATACCTACTAAATTACCGTTGCCCCGCAGGTCTTTCAGTTTTTAATGTAAATTTTCCTCTTTTAAAACTTTTTGATACTTTTTCGAAAATCAATGTTATTCGAATTACGGCAACTCTCGCAAACATTGAAACCTACACAAGTTAAAGTAATAAATAAATAGGTTGGAGTTTTTTAAAAAAACAATAAATATATTTTTCTTTCGATACTTCAAAATTACAATAATTAATAATATTTTTGACTTGAAATTATAGTAATCCCCTTGTATTATTACATGGGACAAACATAAATTTGGAAGCAGATGTATTATATTTATTTACGGTGTGCCTGTTTGCATAAATTCCATTTATATTCAATAGATTCGTACACCTCTCGGATAAAAATCTATTTGACATATATAAAAAGGAAAAAGTTAAACAAATGTTAGCACGGGGGTATCTAGCAGAATAAAAAAAGCGAAATATTGGGTATATCCTGCGGTTTATTTTTCATTTTTTTCTTCATTTGCGGGATGTTTCATATTCTTTTTTTTTTAAGTTAAATCTAACGCAGGCGTTTGATGAATTTATAGGTACGACTTAAGCCATGTAAGCAGGTACGTCGGCGCCGACGATATAATGATTACCGAGCGACGCTCAAGCATAAGGGGACTCAGCTCAGCAGGACCACAAAATAACTTGTAGCGGGGGCGTCGTAAGCCAATGTGCAAATAGCCGCAGCACCCCCAGGTGGGGCGAGGGCTTAGAGAAGGGGGCCTTCCATTGGACGTCGCTTACCAAGTCTAGTGGCCGTCCGTAGCTCATCATAAAGAGGGTAGCGGTCTGTCTACTCACATTGACCAGTAGTTCTGCATCTCTGCGGACATGATCGCGCTCGTTGTGCTGTGTCTCGTGCTCCTCGTGTGTTGGTTCAGGAGGAAAAGAAGCCGTAATGATATTTTAAATTACCCCCCGGGACCCAAACCCTGGCCAATCATTGGCAGCCTGCATCTTCTCGGACAACACAGTTCTCCGTTCGAAGCCTTTACAGTCCTTAGCAGAATTTACGGAAACATCTTTAGCATCAACCTTGGTTCTACACCCTGCGTCGTCGTTAACAACCTTGATTTGATCAAAGAGGTACTAATTACTAAAGGTGGAGACTTTGACTCCAGGCCCGACTTTATCAGGTTCCACATGTTATTTGGAGGAAACAGGAATAACTGTAAGTAATTTTTTATATAAATTATTCACATTATTTTTTGTTATGAAATGTGTTCTCCGAAGCTCGTCAATAATATTAACAGAGCGGAGCATCTAGATTAAATTCATTAATTTAAATATGTTTTAATTAATTCACTTTAATTAAAATTAGAAAAAGTACAAATTAAATTATAATCCACATGCTCGGTTGAATGTATCTACTGCTTAATGTCTGAGATCTAAGAAAAATTTAACCAAATTTAAGAAAATGAATTTAATTTCAACAATTAGTATTAAAATATATTTTTATTAGTTAAAAAAAAATCAGAAACGATATCTAATTAAGAAAAAAAAAATAGAAAATTAAATAATAAAAATCAACCAAATTTAAACATTTTTTTTTAAATTTAATACGTATTCCTAATTTTTTAAACCAAGATTTTGTTTTGTTTTGAATTGCATCGTCTGTGTATAATTTGAATGAATCACAATAATTAAAATTATTACAGATCAAAATCTAATCATATTTGGATTAAAAATTAATCTCGATTTAAATTAAACCTACCTACTAAGTATTCTCGTTTGAAATAGTTGAAAAGATATTTATTATATTCATTATATTAAATAATGCTTTACTGAAAACAGAAATTTAATCAATTAAAGTAGGGTAAGAGCAAGTTAAGTCTGTCTGGTTAAGCTTCTGAATTAATAAATTGATATTTGATACGGAAACAATGGCTAGTTAATGGCGAATAAAATAAAATGCAATAAAATAAATTGCGGTTTGTTTGATGCATACGGGGCTTGATGCGTTTGGTATTTTAATTGCGGGCTGTGAAAGCCCGAGTCCCGTTAATTTAGCATTCCTAGCGAAAAGTGGAAAGAAACGATTTGCCGGTGCAGAGTACACTCACTTATTCTGTTAGCGCATACGTACCTCCGCGTATTGGTTTTCAGTTTAAGAGGTCGAGTCGAGTAAGTTTTTTTACTCACTACTTTACTTTCTATCATACACCACGACACCAGACCTGGTTCATTCATAAGATTGCTTCATTACGTACTCGACTACCGTGAACTTGAACTTGCTTCTAATGAAACTGAATCTGGTCAACACAACAAACAACTGCTGTATTATTTATTTATTTAGAATTATTATTTCAATTTTAACCGCACGCTCACAATTAATAAAAACATTTCGCATTCATTTATTCGGATATTTCGAATTGATTAGCAGATCCCACCTTGCCCGCGACGATGAGATGAAATTTTGTATGGGAACGACGTTAGGGCGACAATGATTATAAGTGAAACGGCTCTGTGTAAAAACAACGAGTTGAAAAAAGGAGCTTTGGTCGGTAGTCTATGTTAACCAGACTGCATGGTTTGTCTGGCACAGGTGTATCATTAGTCAGGTCTCTTAAACTAAACTTATGTTTGGACTTGCATTTATATTCCCATCAAAAATTAGGTGTTTAATACATTTCTCTGGATATAATTTCTCAATTTTGATTAATAAATAATGTTTTTTCATATTTGTCATATTTATACATGATATATACCGAATATTACATTACATTAGATTAAATAAATAAAATTGTCGTTGCTAGAAAGAACATTTTTTCCATTTTTAAAAACACTACTTACTCTAAAGCCAAATTCATATTTTTTGACCCCCACAAATATTTTAATATTTGTAAAATTTATATTGGGTGCACCAAATTTTATCAACAATAAAAAGTCTCTAGGTATATGAAGATTTTTTGTGATACGCTTTACCCATACAGGCCAACATCAGTGGCGCAATGTTTATAACTGGGCTTCCTAGATTTAAATAAAAAAATTGGCTACAATAATAGGAATAGATTTATTATGTTCAGCTATAGGTACATTACGTTCCAAAAAATTCTGATCGATCGCCTTTTTTTTAAGAAAATGCCTTGTATATTGTTACGGTTCACATTGGAAATATACATTAGTTATCATTATTTTCGAAGGAAAATACAAAATGATTAGTTATAAGTCTGTTTTTTATCAAACGGCCCTTCGTCTACTAAACTTTGGTATCTGTTCTACGTTTATCTAGCCAGTGAGTTACTCAATCTTTAAGTCATCAGTAGAGTTTCACATGTTCTATAGTAAGACACCAATCTTTGATGTACACAGTTTTGTACTTTGAACTTGGATTAGGCCATTTTCGTTCATTTTGTTGGAGGACACTTGTGAATGATATTATTTTAATTATTGATTTTCCCTGCATACTTCCTTCCAATTACATATTTTCAAAATATATAATAAGGTGAAGGATTTTTTTAACAAAAATAATATTTCTAAGGATACAAACTCCTATAATAGAAAATGCATACTGTTAATTTATGTAATAAACTGATATCCCAAAAAAAAACCTTTTGAATGGTAAAAAAAAGTTTATTTGAATATTATTGAGATGTAAATTATACAATTATATAAACTATTCAATGAATTTTTGACCTTAAACTGTTACTTTCCTATGTGCGAAAATATGAGCTATACCATTTAAAAAATGATAGGTGTAGTTTCTAATAAAATAATTTCATCCCATTCACACCATATTTTTTAAATAATTTGATCTTATCAAATAATTTATATACATAATATTAGCTGGTCAGAAACGTATAGTTAGGAATTCATTCTCAAGCGTGTGTAATTATCAAAGGCATGCTTTTTTTATTAAATAACAGTTAATCTAAAAAGTCTTAATATATTTTTCTTTCTGTTACAGCATTGGCTCTTTGCGATTGGTCCGACCTGCAAAAAACACGTCGCAGTATAGCGAGAACATACTGTTCACCAAGATTTACTTCTTTGCAGTACGATATGGTTGCCAATGTAGGTACCGACGAAATAACAACGTTTCTACACGAAATACAGAAATTACCTGTCAACACACCCATTAATATCAAGCCTCTAGTCTTAAAAGCATGTGCAAACATGTTTACGCAATACATGTGTTCGACGTCCTTTTCGTATGACGATGAAGAGTTCCGAAAAGTAGTTAGATACTTCGATGAAATCTTTTGGGAAATTAATCAGGGTTATGCAGTAGATTTTCTACCTTGGTTGCTGCCTTTTTACAAGAACCACATGAAGAAAATATCGCATTGGTCTTCAGAAATCCGTCAATTCATATTAGGCCGTATCATTGACGATCACAGAGCTACCTTGGACTACAACTCACCTCCTAGAGATTTTACAGATGCTCTATTAATGCATTTGGAAGAAGATCCAAACATGAACTGGCAGCATATTATTTTCGAATTGGAAGACTTCATTGGTGGTCATTCGGCTGTTGGAAACTTAGTGATGATGACTTTAGTGTCGCTGATTCAACATCCACATGTTGCCAAACGTGTCCAAAAAGAAGTAGATGAAATAACTGCTAATTCAAGAGCCCCTAGTCTGTTAGATAAATCCATGATGCCGTACACAGAAGCTGTTATTTGGGAGACATTAAGAAAAGCTTCTTCTCCAATTGTACCTCATGTGTCTAGCACTGATACTGAATTATTTGGTTTTAATATTCCTAAAGGGACCATGATTTTTATTAATAATTACGATCTTAATGTGAGCAGTGATTACTGGGAAAACCCTAATGAGTTTATACCAGAGAGATTCTTATCAGCTTCTGGCAATGTAGTTAAACCTAACCACTTCATACCGTTCAGTACAGGAAAAAGGACTTGTATTGGTCAGAGATTGGTGCAATGCTTTAGTTTTATTATCCTGGCTACTCTACTACAGAAATACGATCTAACAGCAGAAGGAAAAATTGACGTGAAGCCTGGATGCGTGGCTGTACCTCCAGATTGCTTTAAGGTGATTCTGAGCCCAAGATCTTCCTGAAAATAATGGAAAATTATCTTTTAATGGTTTTCTAATAAGTTTACTTTCAGCAGTAAAACTGCCTCTTGCTCGAGATCGAGATGAAGATATTGTAGCAGCACTGTATATATCTCTTTGTGCTTATGAATCACAGGCTCTACACTAGCCTTCCTCCACTGGCTGAAGACGAGGCCGTCAGGCAGCATGCCAAACATCACCGCCTTTATTATTTTTCTCATTTTCTTTGTTTATCTTTCATTGTATATATATCATGTGAATTTATTGTAAATTATATAATTTATCATGTAGTCTCTCCAGTGTTTGGTCTTTTTATATGAGACTGAATAAATTGTGTAATTTTTTTTTATTAACAACATGTTTTATTTACCTTTCCTTTATTAGACTCGACTTATTTCAAAAATAAGGATGCAAGGTAAATTCAAGAACGAATCGAGGTTAACCTTAACATTTATTGATAAATTTTAAAAAATTCATTATTCTTTAAAGAAATATTAAAATTGATACTGTTTTGTTATTAATCAAAATAATTTTAAACTTTAAAGTTATCAGATTTAAATAACTAGTTCCAGCTTTGTTATTAGTTGGGCGAATTTGAGTAGAATCGATATGAAACATTACATTATTTATTATAACAAACGACAAGATATAGAAAATAGTATACAGGGGTGTCAATTTAAAGTTATTTTAATTTTAACAGCTCTTTGAAGACTCTTTTATTAATTGAATATATATTAACTTTTAACAACGAAATTCGACATACAGCTTAAACGCAGTTTTTCTGAACCTAAGATCATTTTTTTTGTAGTGCAACACAAACACTATAACATTTTTTTTTTAATTGGAGGTTTGTTAATTATTGGTAGGTACACGAATTAATAGATTGCAGTAAGATGATTTTTAAAATAGGCCATGAAAGAACTTGCTCCAACGAAAAATCGTCATTACTGACTCATCATAGAGCGCCTCTTATTCATTCATAACTTCTGCGACTACTAGAGGTGTCTGAAAGCGGGCAACGGCAACGACTGCTTTGATTAAACCGATGCATTTAGCATGATCAAATTTCTGACAAGGCCATTTCAGATCTGGAGATTTACCGGTGCTCCATAAGTGCAAAGTTCACAAATCGGCATGGTATGTTGACCGTTATTCTTTTTGCAGCAATTTTAACGATTTGAAGGAAGCGTTCACACAATAAAATGTAAGGATCAATCCAATCACCTAATAAGTTTTAATCCCAGTATACCTATGTATCAATCCGTACTGGCGCTGAGGCGGCACGTTTGATCTTTAAAAGTAGAAATTTTAGTTGACACTTGACGTTTTCAGGATATTAAAAGTTTTCTTTACATAGTATACCTGGTTAGTTGAATTTTTGTTCCGCTGCTTTTCAAATTCGTGTGTATGAGCGAGATGTGAGATATCTTTATATAGGCAACGGTTGAACAACTTAATTACTTTGAAGAAGAAAATCGATTAGATATCAGGGCAGTCTTCGCAAATGTAAAAATCTGATGTGTCCAACACATGACTTTCCTATCTAGTTATTATAGGCTTTTGCCGGTTTTTTGTACAACCTATTGCAGCACCTCTATAAATGTTTAAAGGATAAACTAAATATATACATTTTCCACATACATTTAACTCGAAACATTTTTCTCTAGATAACGAAAATACTGAAAAAAATTAAATTTAGCACTTTTCCTTCAATTTTTCCAATACGGTCCATTTTAGAAAAATCATATAAAAAACAAAAATTATAGAGATCGATATCATAAATAACTTTTATTTAAACAATTTTCCTAAAAATTTGAATTTTATTACATTTTGTCAAATTTCTCGAATACGGACCATTTAAAAAAAAATTGTATAAAACCAAAATTATAGATAATAATATTGTAAGTAATTTTTATCTGAACAATTTTCTTCTCCAAACATAAATAACAGATATATTCCATAAAATATAAAAACGGCCTCCCATAAAGTACCCCCCCCAGATGTTCCGACTTTGTCCAAAATCTAATCACTTCACGTCAGGCCGAAATAAACCTTAAGTTTAAAATTTAACGTTTTTTTCTTTATTCGTTTTTGAGTTTTCTTCTCGGTTTTCTTCAAAGTTCGAAATTTACACATTTTCTCAAATATCTCGAATACGGTCCATTTTAGAGAAATTATGTATAGAATAAAAATTATAGAGGAATTATATTACAAACAACTTTTATTTGAACAATTTTTATAAAAAATTATTTTTTTTACATTTTGTCAAATTTCTCGAATACGGACCATTTTAGGAAAATTTTGCATAAAACAAAAATTATAGATAATTATATTAGAAGTAACTTTTATTTGAAGAATTTTCTTCTCCAAACGTAAATAACAGATATATTCCATAAAATATAAAAATGACCACCTATAAAGTACCCCCCCAGATGTTCCGACTCTGCCCAAAATCTAATCAGCTCATTGGACGCTGAAACAAAGCTTAAGTTTAAAATTTGGTGTTTTTCTGTGTATCGGTTCATGAGTTATGCGACCTACACACACACACACACACACACACACACACACACACACACACACACACACACACACACACACACACACACACACACACACACACACACACACACACACACACACACACACACACACACACACACACACACACACACACACACACACACACACACACACACACACACACACACACACACACACACACACACACACACACACACACACACACACACACACACACACACACACACACACACACACACACACACACACACACCACACACACACACACACACACACACACCAACACACACACACACACACCACACACACACACACACACACACACACACACCACACACACACACACACACACACACACACACACACACACACACACACACACACACACACACACACACACACACACACACACACACACACACACACACCACACACACACACACACACACACACACACACACACACACACACACACACACACACACACACACACACACACACACACACACACACACACACACACACACACACACACACACACACACACACACACACACACACACACACACACACACACACACACACACACACACACACACACACACACACACACACACACACACACACACACACACACACACACACACACACACACACACACACACACACACACACACACACACACACACACACACACACACACACACACACACACACACACACACACACACACACACACACACACACACACACACACACACACACACACACACACACACACACACACACACACACACACACACACACAGACATCATCGCGAAAAATAGTCAAAACGGATTCAGGGGACCTCAAAACGTAAAAATCCGTCGAAAACTCGAGGTCGAAAAAAATCATGATTCCTATACTTTCCTTATATCTGTATACAGATAGGAAAGTAAAAAGGACAGAACCGTTTCAATTTTTTTTATGTACCTATGTGATTGAATGTCAAAAATGTTTAAATTGCGAAACTGAAATATTACTTTTTAGTGAAAAGTTTAATTACTGTTAGTTCAAGATATAACGTTAGTTTGTCAAGGGAAATATATAACACACAAGGTTAGAGTAACAAAATAGAGGCATTGCTTTATTTCTTAAGAATTACACTTTTTACTTTCCTATCTGTATACAGATAAGGAAAGTATAGGAATCAAGATTTTTTTCGACCTCGAGTTTTCGACGGGTTTTTACGTTTTGGGGTCCCCCTAGATAGGAAAGTCATGTGTTGGACACATCAGATTTTTTAGAATATTGTAGAAATTAATTATATACGTTATTTAAGTACTGCAAAATCTGTAGGAAAGTATGTGGTTTTAAATATTAAAATTTATTACGGAGACATGTTTAGTGTAGTTTTTTTTTACAAATATATACTCAGCGATTTGTTTTTGTGAATGAGTTTTCAAGTATGGCAGACGAACATTGTTACTTTTTATTATGAATTAATTTTAATTTATTTAAAAACGGGAACTATATGTATGTATATGGTTTTCGTAGTTTTTACACTTGTAATAAAAATATCAAAGTTATGTATATTGGCCATATATTACACATAACAAATTTATAGACACAAGACATATCATCACTATTTGACATTCTTATTAAACTCACTAATTTAAAATTGACTTGTAAACTAATAATAATATAGGGAAAGTAAAAGTTGGAAAGGCTTTTGGTAGGCAGAGAGGGGGTAAACGTCAAACCACGTCGGACGGCTTCGAGAATTTCGCAGTAATATTTACCTGACAGTGTCGTTTCATAGAATAATTTTAAATTGTTATCGGCGGAACCGGACAATCGCATGTATTTATGGACTATAAATAATTATTAAACATGTATTATAATATTTAAATCATAATTTTACAAAATTTCAACAGCTATTCACAATTTATTAAACTATTTACTCGAAATTGTTAACATCTATAAAATAATTTTGCACGCCAATGTATCGCGTCCACTTCGGTGAGATCCGACGGAAACCTGCCAATTTATGTGTATAAAGTGGGAGAACTGGCAAAAGCCTTTCCAACTTGTACTTCTGCTATAGTTACATGTAGAGTCAAGTAACAAGAAATTTAAAAACAAAATCAAAACAAACCTTTATATCTAGTGAACTTAATTTAGTACAGTCCTCAACTTTCTTAGGCTAACATTAAAGATATCTATTTGAACTTCGCTAAGAAACTCATTGGTAACAGCCATCATCTTGTTAAAAGGAGCTATAATTCCTACTTGGATCTAAACTAAATAATTTTTTGTTACTTAAGATTCTTAGATTAATCTTTGGCACATTAAAAATTATAAAGTCAATCAAATCATAATCTTTGTAATTAACATTATTTAAAATAGAGTACAAAAAGCTATCGAGCATAGTTTTATATGAGATCTTATAAGGGTACGAGTATTTTTTATTACATAAAGGTACCGTAAAAATATTTTTTGTACTTTTTCAATATGATCAATATGTGTGGCTTCCAAGGGCATCCATATTTGTGAAACATACTCAAGATGGGATCTTACTAAGGCATTATATAATCTGATTTTGGTGATAATACTAATTTTTTTATATTTCTGATTTAAAAACCCAAAGCTTCTATTGTAGTTTTTTATTTTTTAGTTATGTGTAAGAAATAGTTATTGAACTTCAAATTAGACCGAAAGACAACTCCCA